TTTTATTATGTGTGTGTGTTTTGATCTGATCATGTCGTCGTGGCTCATGAACTTGTGCCAAATTGGGGCTTTTTTTTTTTCTTTTTAGTTAGGTAGTTGTTTCTTTTTTTTCTGTTTTGCTTGTCGGCTTTTGTTCGGAGCGATGCCTGATGGATAGATCGAAACTACCACTACTACCAACTACTATTACTACCCTGGAGATTTCCCTGGGAGGATGAGCGTTTTTGCATGAAGAACAGCACAGAGCAAGTTTGATATTGGGTTATTTTGCTTATGACCTACTTACTGTTCACCGTGGCCATGTTGAATGTAAGGGGTTTCAAGGAAAAATAGGGGTTGCCGTTTTGAAGAGGGTGTTTGCTTGCACATAGGCCAGTGGTGGTGGTTCCGCTGTATCTGAACAACGACATATGCATACCTATTTCACAGCTCAAGCATCTAAAAAAGCGATGAATGTTATCTTGACAAGGGAGGCAACGCGTTGTGAGGGACGACCACAGTTTAGGGTGTCTTCTTTCAGCTACTGTAAATAGCCTATTCCCCCATGACATCGACTAATGACTTAAAATCTAAAATTCTACCTCTTATCTAGCTTAGAAGACAACCTGACAGTTATCCTCGTACAAAATCACGCAGGATTGGATCCAGAATCTAACCGTCGAGGCCTAACTCCTTGTAGAACGCCTCCGAGCTCGGCTTGCGGCCCAAAAACTGCTCGAGCGTGAGCATCTCATCCTGCGATCCGCCCTTCTCAAGCACAGTGTGTCTGTAGCGGCGGCCCTCCTTCCCATTCATAGGGTCGGCCTTGAACACGGTCCCGAACATATCAGCCGAATACACTTCCGAGGATAAGTATCCGTAGTATCCGGCATCGTAGCCGCCAATCAGGTGGCCAAACGTCGCCTGGCCGTTGCCCCAGGTGTTCGACCCGCCCTCAGCCTCGGGGCCCTTGAGACCGGCGATCTTCGCCCTGAGATCGTTGTACAACTCGCTGACGTCCAACTTCTCCAGTTCCTCGTGGGTCTTCGGGCTGTGCACCGTCATGTCAAACAGACCAAAGTGCAGCTGACGCAGGTTGAAGAGCGCATCGTTGACATGCTTAGTAGCTACAAGCTTCTCAATCAGAAGATCAGGAATCTGCTCCTTCGTCTCCCAGTGGCTGCTGAGCTGCTTGATCTGGCTCGGGGTCCAGCACCAGTTCTCCAACATCTGACTGGGGGCCTCGACAAAGTCTCTCACGGTCGAGGTTCCATGGAACCTGGCGTATCGTGTGCGGCCGGTCAAATCGTGGATTCCGTGGCCAAGCTCGTGGAACAGAGTCACGACCTCGTCGTGCTTGAGAAGCGAGGGCTTCGTCTTTGACGGTTTGCTGAAATTGCAGACAAGCGATGTAGCCGGGTAATGTCGCGTACCATCGGCCTTCAGGAAGCCAGGCTGGAGGTTGAAATTGGCAGCGTGTCCATACTTTCCAGTTCTAGGATGCCTTTGTCGCAGTTAGATGGAAGACCGTCGGGTTCTTGAATTATCAGCAGTCACTTACAGGTCGAGGTACAGATAGCCAACAAAGCCATCGCCTTCGCTCTCGTCATTCCAGACGCTGAAGATGGTGACATCCGGGTGCCATGAAATGTCCTCAGCCTTTCCAGTAGGTGAAAGACGCTTGCGGTCAGCATCGTCAAGCGGCACAAACACAAGGCCAAACAGCTTCTCGAAAATCTTAAACATGGCTTCGACGGTCGTTTGGAGTGGGAAGTACTCGGCAACAGCGTTCTCGTCAATGCTGTACTCCTGCTCTACCATCATTCGGTCGTAGAACCGGTGGTCCCAGAGGTAATAATTGCCATCGAACCGCATTTTGCGGGCCTCGTAGTATTTCCTCTTCAGCTCCAGCAGATGCTTGATCTCTTTGACACCACCTGGAGCCAGTCGGGTCTTCAAGTCCCCGAGGAAGTCCCAGACTGTCTTTGGGGTCTTGGCCATCTTGTCCTCGATACGGAAGGACGCATGGTCGGGGTAGCCGAGGAGACGGGCAGCTTCGTCGCGGAGCAAAATCGCTTCCTTGAACAGCGGAACATTGTCGTTGCACTTTGGTAGATGTATTAGCTCTACACCCCAGCTGCCAGTAATATTGCAGGCACAGTAGTATCCTTACCTTGTTCTCGTTCTCGATAAAGACCTTCTTCCGCGTGGCCGGGTTCTTGGCAAACTTCAAGGTAGGGAAAAGGTCCGTGTACTTGAAGGTCAACCTGATCTTCTCTTGGCCCTCGTGCTTGCCTCGCTCCATGTTGTCCAACACGTCCAATGGGACGCCGGCGAGCTCCTTCTCTGTGAACCAGATGCCGCCGTTTTCCTCGTTCAGGTTCTTCTGGAAGGCGATCTGGATCTGGCTCAGCCGCATCTTGATCTCCTTGAAGCGGTCTCTCTGCGGGCCCTCGGGCAGGCCCAGACCATTCCGGATGTAGTTCTTTCTCTCTTTCTCCAGCAAGCGAGCGCTCTCGGCGTTCTCGAGGCCGGCGGCTTGGGCAAGCGCCTCGTCAATCAACCGCCCCTTGTCTGCTTCTTGGCTGGCTGCGAGCCCCGAATTCTTGTACACAGCGTCGACTAGTCGGAACACATCCTCGCGCATGCCACTGGTGATGTGTGAGTACCCACGAAACCATGTTACAGGTCCATCGCCATCGTGACAAAAAAAAAAACAAGGTACATACCATTCGATTCCGAACTCGTCCATGATCTTCTCGGCTTCGGTGCTCGCGTCGCGGAGCTCAACGTCGGCACTCACGTATTGATAGAAGCCCAGGATGCGGGCGCTCAAGCTCGACGTGTTCTCATCCTCCGTCTGCGGGTGCATGACGGCATCAAAGGTAGCGGCCTTGGGGTTCTCGGCCGGCTTGATCTCGGCAACCAGCTTGTCCAGCAGCGAGCGGGTTGTATCGCACAGAGCCTTGGCGTCGGCGACGATGGACTCCTTGGTGCCTGTAAAGAGCGGCGGCGCCTGGGGCGGGTCCGTGTACTTGGACATGTTGACGTTGGGGGCGTGGGTCAGGAACGAAGTGAAGGCCGAAGAGGTCAGGGTTGCAAGCCCAGGGCTGGTAACGGTGACACCGATGAATCCGCCTCCGAAAGGCGCCGACGGGCGTGGACGAGGGCGGCTGTACTTGAGCTGGCTGAAGAGGGCGGTCAGGCGGGGGACGATGCGTGGAGCAGCCAGAATGACGGTTATGCTGGAGAAGAGCAAGATGGAGAAGAGCAGCAGGAAGATGGCCCGCCGGATTCGAGACGAGTCGGTGGACGCCAGGGTGAAGGTCGGGCTGGGTTGAAAGATCTGACGACAGGTAAGGGCGCTGTTTGGTTGGTTGGGAGACAATGGATGGCCAGCAAGGAGAGGGGCAGAAGACCGGAAGGAGCTCTGCTGCGAATCGGTCCAGTGGTTGTTGCTTGTCTGTGGTGTACACCTCCTCCACGGTTATGTAGGTTAGCGTGGGAAAATGGCGTCGACTAGTTTCACTTGGTGCGAGCCTTTTACGTCAAAGGTCACTTTTCTAGGAGATTCCATACAAAAAGTGCTCCACAGTACTTGAAGATAAAATCCTAACCATCGCCCACCCAGTTTCCTACCTACCTGCCCTCACCACTTGCACCTTCCACCTGCTTGCACAACCACCACAACACAACGCCGTCAACAGTCAACGCAGCTACCTACTTGCGCAAGGCAGTCAATACAGTCAACCGACCTCCTCGAATTCCACCCTGACTATGTGATTCTTGTTTCAATTTGCTTACATCACGCCCAAATGTTGATTGATTGACTGTTGACACCATTTCCACGAATCTTCAGCTCTGAAGTAAAAGTACAGCAGTTGGCTGAATTCCCTATACAAATTTGGCTGTGGTGGAAGTACTGTACTTTGACTGTTTAGGTTTAGCGGTGGCGTTGTACCACCCTAACCTACATAACCGTGGAGGAGGTGTAACAGCGGGTTGGACGGCAAGTGCCTGGGGAGCTCGGTTCAGAGCTTGGGTATCATGCGGGGAACGGGTACCTTACAGTGCAGCTGCGTTGCGTGACGGCACGCGACAGACAAGCGACCTGGGATTGGCTGAACGGCCGGCACGACGCGAACTCGCCGACCCACCCTTGCTATCTTTGGTCAGCGATGCTAGTGCAGTTTCGAAGGATTGCCAAAGGTTCACGACGTGCAGTTCATGAGATACTTGTAATAGTTGCATTTGCTCAACTCTCGAGGCTTCATTGTGTGGTCGATTCCCGAGGTCAACGACCAGATCACGCAAACAAAACGACGGGTCGTGACGCAACGCCAAGCCTGAAGCAGCAGCACCGCCTGAACCTTGGTTCCTCGGCTGCCTCGGGTACCAATGTCGTTTACTCACTATCCCGTCTTGCTGAGTCAATGAACCTGCACGAATAATTAATTCCAAGGGAGATAAGTTCGAATTGGAATTCATAAGGAGAAGAAAACAACCTCTATGTAGCTGCGCGCCTGGCTTTGTGCAATTCACATCATACCTGCACATGCAACTTCCCCATAATTCCTAGCGGGGTACCCCAGAAGCTGAGGCCCACCCTGGTTGGAGGCAGCTGTCTCGGTCCACGCAACTTTCAGGAGACGTGGGAACTCAAGCCAATACGTCAGGTAACCTTCGTAACAGACGAAACCCGACAAATCCCACAGCTCAACAAACAAATTTCCAGAAAGCATTCATCGAACAACGCGAGGGCAGAATTCCGCATTATTTACACACCTCACCCACCTAACCGTTATCCGTTGCCTACACAGTACAATCGGAATGCATGCCAAGCAAAGCAATCCCAAAAACACTCCACCAAACAAGCACCCACCCACATAACTCGTAAACACACACAATCCAAAAACTGTCTCCGCCGCTGACCCCATTCAAAAAGGCCAAACCCTCGGCGTGCGTGATATTATGCATAATCCACATCTTCATCTTCATCACAAAGCAACCAACCAACCAAAGCCCGATTAGCTCAGCTGCTTAGAGCGTCGTACTAATATCCTCTCCCACAAGAAGATATCAAGTCATGCGAAGGTCAACAGTTCAATCCTGTTATTGGGCAAACCAGCATCTCATCGTCTTCTGCAAGGAAGGTGATGTTTCATTTTTTGGGTTTCGGGAGTTTGTGTCAGTGAAGTGGAGCATACATAGGGTTTGGGCTAGGCTGGCTAGGTCCACTGGTCATGTCCTTTTGGCATTTGTTTATTTGTGATGGGAGGAAGTAAGTCTGCAGTGGTGCATGTGGTTTTTATGTGGTGCTTAGTGGATGAAGAAGTGAGAATAAAAATCCCGGTAGGTGAATGATAACTTTGTGTGTTTGGATAAATGAGTGAAGAGAATGTTTGCAGTATGTGCCCGGCTAGGGCTACCAGTTATATTTATCAGGTCCAGGAATTTGATGATCCCATTCTGAATTTTGACGAGAATTAAAACTAGAATGAACTGTGTTGCTCTCTCTTTCAGACCGTATAATCACGCCAAAACAGGCCGATTGAGATCACTAGCAAAGCAACGATCTCACCCCATCTCACTCACACAGCTACCAGGTAGGTAATCTCAGCTAAGTAGTCATTAAGTTGATTGATTGCTCTATGGTATATTGCGTCGTAACGTCAAGGGCATAAAAGCGGCATTGCTGAAACATGCAGACAATGGGGAATAAGAAAGTCATGACGCCCAATACTCGTATCCTACACTTTAAAAGAAGTTGAACAGCAGCCACGCTGAAATGTGTGAAAGCAGGTACCCGACCTCGCTGCTCTGGTTCCGGTTCCGGCTCCAGCTCCAGCAATCGTTCTTTTTGCAGACAAAAACAATGTTGCGTAACTCGAGGCGACTGCCAATTTTGCTCAAAGGGCAGCGGAAACTCAAAGGTCAAAGATTACCCAGGGCCCACTCCCATGGCAGCCGTGCATATCTGATAAGATCGGACAATAATTCCTGTAGGGGAAAATCGCGAGTTGATCACGAAACCGGGGCGCAGGAGAACGGGTCCTTGACCGAGCCATTCGCGTACCGATCCATCTATGTTGTTGTTAGTCCACGTCAATCTCTACCAGCTGCGAGTGGAAAAACTTACAATGTCCCAAATGCTGGAATATGTGCCCAAACCAAGCACGATAACGCCGACAAGGAAGCAGAGAATGTTCAACAAGGACAGCGGCAGGTTTTTCCTCTCGTACCAGCTGCCTTCCTTGATGAACATGAACCACATTATGGCGGGGAAGTAGAAGCTGAAACCGGAGACGAAGAGCGACGAGCAGATGGCCAGCAGATCTCCAAAGAAGGGGATGGCCTCGGCGACAATCCATGCGATCACGGTGACGATGCCGATCAAAACGAGCCAGGTAATCCATCCCATCGGCGTGTTGATGTACTTTATGACCGAGTTGCTGAAGATTCTGCCGTGAACGTAGCGCGCTACGACGGTGGTGTTGATGCTGCCCGAGATGAAGATGACAGGCATGGCAACGCCAAAGGCAATCTTGGAAATCAAGGGGCCAGCGGACAGCAGGGCCGGTGACGCAACATCCTTGCCGACGAATGCGTAGATGATGGCGCCAGTGCAGGTGTAGATGACGATCTCAATGGTTCCCAGAGCCAGGACGCTCTTGGGGAAATCAGACGGCGTGTGCATCTCGTCCATGAAGCTGAACTGGCAAAGAGCGAAGCTGTATGCGAAAACGATGTTCGCAATGGCGATGAAAGCCTCGGCCAAGGTCAGGTTGTCCTTAGGCATCGCAGACCAGTTGACCGCCGCCAAACCACCGTCAGCGTTGCTTGCCCTGACTCCAGTGGCAATCATGGTGATAAGGATGGCGACGATGATAGAGACGAAGTCGATATATCCCAGGATGGCGACTTCGGCGAAGCTTGGTGGGATGGCCAACATAAACAGAATGATGGCCGAGACAACGCCAAAGACGATGGAGCAGGCGCCATTTTCGGTGAGATTGCCCCACATGATTTTGCCCGTCAATACATGGCTTCCCGTCGTGAAGATGAGCTGCAAGCAGAACATGACGCTGATGACCTCGTAGCCAAATTTTCCGAACATGAGACGGCCTGCATCGGTATAGTGGGAGATGTGCGGGTGCTTGAGCTTCACCTGACCGACAACGTAGCTGGTGTACATGGCAATGAAGCCGATACCTAAGCAGAGAATGACACCGGCCACCATGCCGAGCGTCGCGAAAACCGAAGGGAGACTGAGACTGCCAAGGGCAATAGCCTCGACGATGAGGACCACCGTGAGGCGCTTCCAACCCAGCCTGTGGAAGGCAGCCTCGCCCTTCTTCTTCAACTCGAGGTCCGTGACTTCGCCCACGATGGGCTCGTCATCGTATGACGGAGCCGGTGATCCATGCTGCGTCCTCAGTGGCCCCGTTGCTGCCTGACCAGATGGTCCCTTGACCTCATCCTCCTTTTTTAAGGGACTCCGGTAATCGCCGAGTCCAGCCTCCATATTTTGTGGCTGGATCTGTTTTTGTCGCTTGGGTGCCTATGTCGAAGATGAAGAGGGCGTTGTCCAGAACGAAGCTCAAACGTACAGCGAGGTGTCTGGCTGGCCACGAAACGTTACAGCAGCAGCACCGGAGAAGGGGAGACAAGAGGCGCGAGAGGCAGGATGTGGGGGAAGAAGAGAGGAGGGTAGGGAAGGCGTTGGGGCAGTCGTCGGCCGGCAGGAAGACGGGATATTAGGTAAAAAGAAACTGGGGAAACGGAAGGAGCAAAGATCAGGCAGAATTTAAAGGGATGTGCGACCTCTTGAGAGATGCCGAGTCAGGGGCGACAGGTTGGCACTTGGCACCCTAGGTGGGCTCCCGAATGCCGGCCGAGGAAGATGGGGTGCGTAGGGTGTGGCCTGGTCAGCGCGACCCCAGCGCGACCCCATGGGCCATGAGGCTATTCCATGCTCCCCAGAGTCGATGCCAGACTCTGGGATGGCGATTTCAGCCGAGGCGCAACCCCCCGCGCCCTCTTCTCAGGCCCCCGTGCCCCCCTCCCAGCGCCCCCTCAAGGTTGCCCATCCGTCTCCGCGCGCATTGGTCCCCGAGGTGCGTCCCGGTGGCCTGTCGTTCGGTCGTGCCTTGCATTACTCCCAATCTGCTGGTTCTCGCTTCCCACATTTCTGCGCGGAAGGACAACGGTTCCTGAACTCTATAGCCACGGCGAGTCAGCGTCTGGGAAGTCGCAGGTGGAGCGCAACGCAGCAGGGTCCGCAGGGACGGTTTGAAGGCCCAAAATGGGTTTTCGGTCGAACTGGACCAAGGTTTATGACCTCAGAGTGGAGTCCGAAAGTCCGAGATAGCTCCAGAGGCCATGCAATGCAGCGGTGGAAAAACTCTAGATGCCATGCGAGCGTGCACTCGGTGTGCATTCACCGTGCGCCGTGACATTGTCCCTGGCCCCAACTTTGCAAAGTTTGCGGAAGAATAGACGACCTGGAGTCTAGACCCCGAGATTGGCAGAGGTTGGGAAGAAGAACGGCCGAAGAAAAAGACGCCCCCGGCTCCTTGATCTTCTCCATGCATGCCTTCCGGGTTGTTGTGCTCGTTCCGGTGGGTGAAGGAGTCGTAACACTGGGTAGTGTGGTACGTAGGCACTGCTAGGCGCCGCTAGGTTGGGGGGCGGTGGCTAAGGAAAGGCAGATCAGCACTGTTCAGGTCGTAGAATCCCAGGCAGGTAGTCTATTCCGCACCGTCAGGTAGTCGACTGGCTCGGCTGATTGTTTACTCTCCCCTTTTCTGCGGCTCGGCGGCAGCGAATGCGCGCAACAACCCTAACCCGTGTTGGGTGGGAGTCTCTGCGCGGCTTGAAGCGGCACACGATGGAATGGACATCCACGCTTTCGAACGAACCTTTCCGAGGCATACCAGGTAGGACCACATCGCCCTCGTCGCATGCGCATAAAACGACAACAGACGACGGACGCTAAGCAGGATCCATTGAACACGAAAATGAAAAAGGGAATTGTGCGCGTGTCTCTCCGCAGTTGCCCGAGAAAATGATGGGTCCAGAACCAGGCAGAAGGGGTTCTGATCTGATCTTCTCCATCAATACAAGGTTTGCGGGAAAGGTTTGCTGGAGTTTGAACCTGGAGAAAGGGCATGCCATCGGCCGACGGCTGATCCCATTCCACACTGCACATCGGATGCAACTGCAGTGGAGGCTTTGGTGGGGTGGAAATGGAGCCAGAAGCCAAACCCCAAAGAACCCCAAAACCCCGCTCTTGCTGACCTAAGATGTGCAATGCCAATCTCAAGCCGAATCTCACAACGCCACAACCACGGCGCAGCGCCACAAAGCCGCTGGTCAGTGTTCAGGCACGACGCCACAATGCTTGCATCTGGTGCTAACCCGTCTCTTCGACGGCGTAAACAAACGCGGAGGTTTTGTCCAATGGCATCACATCCGCGCAACCGTACTCGATATTTTGGTGCTTTAGTGACTTCCTCCCTGGTTCCCCTCCAACGAACGCCAGCGCGTCACCCAGCCTTTTTTTAGCATTCAATCCACGCCAGCGATTCGCAAGCAGCCCGCGCGCGCCATCGACAACCCGAAGCCATTCTCGGTGTTTATGTTTTAAATCTGTGCAACGGGCATAACCAATTCAGTCCACCGCTTCGAAGCACATCACCGAGCACCTTTATTCGCCTTTCCGTCTCTCGACACCTCATCGACACCGACACCGTCGCGCTCTGCACTATTAGTCCTTCGGCACTGCACCGCACCACGCGCACGCACTGGCGCCGCAATCCAAACTTCGTCGCTCCCCCAATCCCATCCCCGAAGTGCCCTTTGAAGGGTATCGCGAACCACGCGCGCCCATCAGACGAAAGAGGGGAGAACTGCAACCTCCACCATGGCCGACTCCGACGACAGATATTTTGTCTACGAGAACCGGCTAGCATCCTTCCAAGGCCCTCACCCAGTCGCCAAGAAGAGAGCCTCCAATGCCAGCTCACGCGCGCCAAAGGCCCTGCACTGGCCCCACAAGTCGCTTCTGCCCTCAGATGTGAGTACTGGCTCGATTGGTGGCATAGCATAGCACGGTGACGA